CATTTACTGACTTTTGATGTGGTTATTGCAGGGTTGGTCACATGCTCTGTGGAGGACTGGGCAGGTAGTTGTGGAATCCACCTTGGTCTTTAAAAGCCAGAGTCTTTAATGAGGCATTCACAGATCGTTTTAACAGTTTTGATGCAACCCGTGTGCAGTTTTGTAGTTAAAAATCCTCTGAAAATGCCTTGCTTATTCTTCCAAGGCTCTGCATATGGATCATCTGCATTTCCCTTCCTGCATCTGGGAGGCTGTAAGATGACACATGATACCATTCTTTAATACCTCTTCACTGGTACCTTTTAACATTTATGGAGAATGTGCTGGCGTTGCAGATGCCTGACCAGTTGGTAGGGGGCTGGAGAAGGGCCGGATTTGTACAGAAGAATTAGTGTCCCCATGAAACAGGCTAAAAATGGGTAATCACAAGGAACAGTCATGATCTTTGCTGTGCTTCTGTGCTTGAAACAGTAAAATGATCCGTGTTCTTGCATGCAGTCTCATGATGCCCCTATTGCTTTAGCAACCAGTGAGCAATGCACCAGTGTTTTCCGCAGCTACTTCGTCAGCTCAGCTCTTGTTCCAGTGAGCTCATCTGCAGTGTGGAGCAGGGCAGGGAGCACGTGCCCTTGAGATAGCTTTTCTCCTCTGGAGTAGGCTCTTGAAAGAGAATTCCCTGGACATTTTGGGGAGGGGAAAAAAGGAGGCAGATTACTGCTCTCTGAAGCTGAACTGCTTTGTTGTTTGGGAATGACACTTTAACCAAAGAGCAATTCTAAATAGGAGAAGACTACCCAGCATTGTACTTGGTCCATCACCTTGTTCTCAGCTCATAAGCCATTTATACTGTGACAGTATCAAAACAGAAATATGTTTCTGTATTTCACACATAGCTTTCGTTCCTCACCCGCTCCTCAAAGCACAGTGGAGCAGTTGTCTCTGTTACTTCTGTTGTAGTTCTGTCGGGGTTTCAGCCCAACCCTGCTGGTGATGGCCACCACTGCCTACCATTGACTGCAGCATTCCTTTCCTGCCTTCTCCCCAGCTACTCACGACCACCAGACTGGAGCACACATGGGCCAAAGCAGTTCCTTTTGCTGCTTGTTTGTTGCTGGGTTATATTTAACCCAGCTCAGAGTCACACTGCCGTTTGCTACATGACTGCTTTTGCTGACCCAACAAGGATGGGTGATGAGGAAGGCAAGACGGCCTCATCCAGCCACAGTGCTGGTTCAGGCTCAGGCTGTGTCTAGGGCTGTGCTGTCAGTCTGTCCCTCAGCATGCCGTGGTGGTGAGTGTCTGGCTGAGTAAATAGGAAGAACTCCATTTCTGTCACTTCACTGTTAACTCTAATAACGGTGAGAAGCCTAAATGGACATCTGATTACTTTCTGTTAATGAACATTGTATGATGCAGCCCTTGTCACTTGTGCATCACATCCATGTGTTGGGTTTGCATGGTCGTGGGATTAGGATGCTGGGTTAGGGTTAAGGAGAAGTAGTTATGACTGGAGCAGTCTGGTGCTTAATGCTGGTGCGTTTATGATAATAAAACCCCTGCCATGTTAAGCAGTTTGGTGTCATCTAATGCCTCGGAGAAGCCTTGGGTTCCAATTCGGTTTTGCGTGGGACAAACTAATGAGTCAGGCTTGGCCATTCTGGGTGTCCCTGTGGTGTTTTTCCAGCCACTGTGAAGTTTTCCACCACAATTTCTCTTAGAACCACTGCTTACACTTAATCTACTTTAGGTGATTCACCCATTCGTGTTCTCTTTTCTCTTTTATCTAATGCTGTCCAATGTTTTGTGCAGATTTACTCTGGGAAAGTAAAGCCACAGTTTTTCTTTGCTCTGGCATTTTTCTTATATCCCCTCCTTGTTTATTGTGTGATTTATTTATTTATCCCCCCCCCCCGTGTCACTGCATTTTCCTGGGGGATTTCTGTTTGTAGCAGTTCTGTGGAGGCTTAATCCAAAGATTTTTTGCCCTTTTTTTTTTTTTTTCCTGCCAAAGAGGATGGTGCTTAGCATCCCCCTTGTGTCCATAGCTACAGAGCTTTGTGTCAAGCTGGCCTTGCAACACCTGCGTAAGGTAGGAGGTTGAGGTTGGTTTATAGACTGGGGAGACATGTGGGAACGGAGTTCAAGAGGCATGGTAGTCTGGCTGAAAGCATACAGCTGTCTGAAGCTGGAAATAGAACGCAGAGGTGGAGCTGCAGCAGGATTTTAATGCATAGAAAAAAATTTTTAATGCATAGAAAATGCCTTTCAGAAACATTAAAAATCCTATCAGTCTTGTGCTAGGTGTGGAACATCACAGTGACCAGCAAAGAGGACACCTCATTTTTTTTTCCTTCTTTAAGTTTCTCCGTCCTTTTAGTCCTTGGTGTGATATTTACAAAGTGCTTTCTTAAAACGTTTTGTCTTCAGCTTAGGCAAACTCTGAGTTGATTGTGACTGGTTGAGCAAAATAACGCATAACTTTGGTCTTACCTTGACAGCTCTGAACTTAACGTGGTATTCCAGCAACGGGCTTCTGAAAGCTTGCAATAGAATATCTTTTTTTAGCTGCTAACTACTGTTTTATAAATTCGTGAAGACAGTTTGCTGCAGTCCTTGTTTGTTAGTTTTGCTGTTGAGACCTTGTGTAAGTGGTGGTGTTTGTATCTGTAGCAGCGCTGGCAGAGCCCAAGGGGTGTTCTGCTCGCCAGCGTATTCCCCTCTGAGCTCCTCAAAGTGATTTTTCTCATGCTCTTTGTGACTGGCACAGACTACGTTTCTTGTTTGCTCATGAAGGAAGCACCTCTGGGGAAAAAACCTTCACATTGCAGGAGGTGACTTAGCAGGAAGGTGAAGGGAGCCTTCAGTCTGAACGTGGAATTGAAGCTGTGGTTTCCAGTTAGATAAGTGCTGCTGTGTTGTGGGGGTAGCGTGTATTTGTGAGAAATCCTAACAATTTGTTAGAGATCCCAAAAGTAGTTCTTAGTGGAGCAAAGACAGTGTGGCAGGTGCCTTAAACACGCTAGTTATTTGTCTCAGTGTTGTTCCAGTTGGGCGAGAGAGACCTTTTCATCCCAAGGTGCTGGAGAGTCCTGGCCAGCTGGCTCCCCGCAGGTGCAGGCTTTCAGTGGTGGCGAGCAGTCCTCGCCTGCTGGGGCTCTGTGTCCTCCGCGCATGGGATGCAGAACTTCTTCCACAAAAAAGCTCTGCTCTGAATTTTTAGAATAAAGGTTTGCTGAGGTGAGTCAAGCCCCAGGATGTCTCGTTCACGGCATACCAAATCAGCGTGAGCAGGGAGCTGTCTGACTCCGATCCCAGGTAATCAGCTGCTGCGGTACTGAGACACCCGGCGCAAGTATTGTCTTCACAGTTAACTAGATAAAATGCTTCAAGACACAATCCTACTTGACTGACATAAAATGTGAAATCTGTTCCTAAACCCTAGTGTTTGTCATGCTTTTCTGAACCTTAGTAGAATCGTAAACCACCACGGTGTATCTCAGGTGGAGAGGCTGTATCATGCTATCTGTGCTTGGAGATTATATGCAGCTTAGCTTTTTAATTTGTGGGAAAAGGTGGGTGGGAAAAGGCTGCCTATCATTTGGAGCACCTACATTTTGTTATGTTGATTCTGTAGGACAGATTCTAGGTAGATTCTGGACCTTCACTGAAGTTGATTGCTGTATCTGGAAAGAAGGACGTGTTTCTATAATATAAACATCTGGATGCTTGTAAGCTGAGCTCAGCAATAGCTGAGCACTACCGTTGTCATTAAAGCACTACCATCTGTGCAGAGTAAGAAGAGCCTTTCTTGAAGCATAAAGGAAAAAAGCCTTAATGGAAAAAAGGAGCCATTCATGAAAAGCCTTCCATTTCAGAGTATCTCATGCTTGCTCCTAGCTAGAGGGACTGCAAATCCTTCCATAATGCCTCCATAACCATTCAGATGACTAGTTACTGCTTCTGTAATGACTCGTTTTAAAACAAATTTTATGCTGTCTATGCATTGCACCTAGGGAAGGGAATGTACATTTGGCTCAGTCCTTTCATCATGCGCATGAAAAACCCCACTCTGAAACTTCAAGGGAAATGGCTTGGGTGGAGCCTTTTATTTTAATTCTCTCCTGATACTTATTTCTCTGAAACTGTAACTCCGTGAAGTTCATATTTGAGAGTGTTTTCCTGAGGTCTTTCTAGGAGGAAGCTACATTTGTGGTGCTCTTGTACATCTGAATCGGTTTGGTTGACTTTGCTGTTTATCCAGGGCTCCAGAATCCCAGTGAGCTTGCACGTGCTTTGTCTCCTGAAATTTGCACTGTAGTGCATCAAAAGATGAATGAAACAAATCTGTGGTGAAGCTTTCAGAGCTGAAGTTCAGTTTAGTCAGTCCCAGGGTTTCTATCTTCCAGGCAGCCATGTTTCTGCATTTAGAACTGTCAATGTTATTGGTTAAGTTTCACATCAAGGCATATAGTTTCTAGCACTCACAGTAAAGGTTTTGTGTGATTCTTGCCCTGGGATATGGGAGTGAAAGAGGGGAGGGAAGGCAAACTTTGCCCAACAGGAGCCCCTCTGGCTGTCCAGGGTTTTGCAGTGGGAGGAAGCCTCATCCTCCTCTGAGCGGGTGGATGGTGTTTGTGGGACTGGACTTCTTACTGGAAGGTGGAGAAAAGAGGAAGAATTCATCAGAACTGAGCAATATTGGAAAGAGATGACTCTCACTGCTCCCTGTCCCTTCTCTGGAAAACAAGTTAAAATGGAATTATCTCCACTGTAATGATTTAGTCTAGGGTTTTTCTTTTTTTCCCCTGCTTCTACTGTTGGCAGTGGCCGTCGGTAGTACAGGGAAGGAGTGAACTAGCAAGTATTTTCAATGTCTTGTGCTCTTTTATACTTGTGAATTAAAAACTGCACAGACCAGTTGTTCTCGGCGAAGCAATCATTTAGAGTTTTTTTTTATTATTCCCTTGTGTTTTGTTTTTTTTTTTTTTTTCTAGGAAACTACTTTGCAAGTCACTTCTTTATGGGAGGCGAGAAGTTTGACACGCCTCACCCCGAGGGCTACCTTTTTGGCGAGAACATGGATCTAAACTTCCTTGGGAATAGACCTGTTCAGGCAAGTTCCTATATGCTGTCTATTTTACCCTTTTGTTTTCTGCCTGGTTTGGAAAATCTTGTTTAGAGCTTGTAGAGGAGGCTAGCACAGACTTAAGAGACCCTCGCTACTTGAGGAATGTCATTCCAGTCTGCGGGGCAAGAGTGTTCCCCCACCCCGTGTCCCAGCTTGCTGGCTGCCATAGCTGTTCAGATGCAAGCAGAGTTTTTCTAAGTAGTATGCACCTTCTGGGCTTATTTTTACTTAGGGCAGAAGGAAGAAGTAACGGGGGAAGGACAGGGACTCAGGAGCACAGCTTTTGGGACAAATACTGATTGTCTGCCTGAGCGAGTGTAAAACACGCTGCAGAGAGGAGAAGGCTGGGAAGCAGATCCACTCTCAGAGCCTGAACTTCATAGGGCTCCTGGGCACATTGGATGGATTTCAGCCGGTGTTCAATGCGTGATGTTCTCCGTGGAAACGAGTGGCCTGACTGGGCATAGGGCTGTGTTAAGACAGATCTTGATATTTGGTGGTTTTTGTTTGCCTTGTAACCTAGGTGGGCTGCTCAGAAAGTCTCTACTTTAGTTTTTTCAGTTAGAAGAACATGGAGGTGTTTCTGGGCTCATGTGGTTTATGAAACTGTGTAAAGCTACCTGCTTGAGTGATTGGCTTGTTCTTTTGTTGTGAACAGGGAGTAGCACTGTTGTGAGGGACAGATAGGAATTTTATGTGAGTGTTTGGTTTTGGATTTCTCTTGCATCTCAAAACTGCTTAAAAAGAACCAAAAGGTTACAGATTAGGAGCTCTATGGGGATGTTTTCAGAGTGCTGGAGAGGAAAAAGAGCTGCTTGCTTTGCCAGCTATTTTCCTAGTTGTTTCTGCAGCTTCAAAACGTGAATATGAGAAATTGATGTCATGGTTCTCGTCTTCAGAAAAGCTGTGACTATTAGTTAATTCATGCTTGTAGTGCTCAGGCAGTTCAGTATCACCCCTGTTTTACAGATGAGGGAAGCTGAGAGGAGATGACTCGATATTTGAGTTGAACTGGTGACGAGCGCATTCTGCTTTCTGAGTTGTGTTCAGACTGTGCCATAGGTCTTCTCAGTACCACAGTTAGTTAGCAGGACTCTGCAGGGTAAGACAGGGAGGAATCTGGAAAGCCCTTGTTCAAGCAGAAAGTGCAGATGAGCAACAGAATTAGGAAGGAGGGACTTTAGATGGAAGTTTTTCTGGATGTAACGGTGCTAGGCAGGCATGCAGATGCTCATCCCATACCCTACACCATGCCTGCTTACAGGGCCCGTGCAGGACAGCGGTTAAAAGTTGACCACTTCCCCTTTGCTCTGTGACTAGCAGCCACACAGCGCTCCAACAAAAGTAGAAGACGCAGCTTTTAGCTAATATGCCATGTGCCTATGGCTGTAGGGACTAACCTTGCATAGTTAAATTGCGTGCATGTCTCAGCCTGGGTTTCCTTGCAGACATCGCAGCACTGAATTTCATCATTTCTTCAGAGGGGAGTGGGTGAGAATGCTATTAACACAGTGGGACGTTTGCCAAATAGGTTTAAGAGAGGGAGGCTGTCGTGGTATATAGTTTGCCTATGTAAAGTTAATGCCCTTTGGCAGCTCTGATTAATCTTCAAGGGAAAAAACCACTTGAACACAGAGCAGCGAAACTGCTTTCTGGACGTGGGCCGAGTTCTTGCTTTGGAGTAACGGAGGTCTTGAGTGCTCTGTGTAGAGCAGTGCTACCAACCACAGTACCGAGCAGTCGGGGTGCAAGGAAAGTAGTTGCTTCTGCCCCGTGAATTCTCTGCTGCCTTCTGTGGCAGCAGTTCTCCTGTTGGACAGGAAACAGCATGTTTTCCCTCAGGCTCTGGCTGTTGCCCCACCAATACATTTCTGTGGCCCGAGGGGACAACACTGACAGGCTTTTGTCCTGGAGCTTCCCTGAAGTTCAGCTGCAGCAGCATTTGGCTGCCTGATTAGCAGGCTCCTCATTTCTAAGGGAATATATTTATATTGGTGGTCCCTGGTACTTCTGCTCCTTGTCACTCACTCTCTCTACACCACTGCAGGCCACCTAGTAGATGCGTGTTTGAAGCACCCCAACTCTAATGAGGCTGCATGGTGGCACTGTTGCTGGATGCATTCAGAGTAACCTTCTGCCTGAAAGCTTGTCCTGGAGCTCTGTACCTTTGTGTCCTGCCTTTGCTCTGATTTGGAGCATGGCTGTGTCTCCACCTGTCAAACTTGGCAGTTGTGTGAGTGGATGTTTCAGCTTCAGACTTCGACGAGCAGATGGGAGATCTAGCAGGCAGGTCTGCAGCTGTACAGGTTGTGGTCACCACAGTAAGCAGTTTCCTTTGCATTTCTCACTGGAGATTCTGTGATCAGTAAGGAGAATTACAGTCTGAAGCATTATCGTTCTTTATTTAAAGCACAGTCTTCGAGAAGGTCTCTTGACTGTAGAATAGAATGAGGCCCCCTATCCTTGTCTCTTTCTTTTCTTTTCCAGAACATTTGCCCCATTGTTTCAGCATAAAAAGAGTTTTCCCCCAGTAATCCAGGGCTTCGGCATGCTGATTAGCAGTCAAGTAACTGTTTGTATGCTGTAACACACATGAAAGGGCTGCATTTCTTCTGCTCAAGCTGGAGGTGGCTTTAGTGGAAGTAAAAGCTTGTGAGAGCAAGGCTTTCCAGACTGAGAATTCAGGGTGCAGAAAAAGAGCTTGTGAAAATGCCCTTTCTTAAACTGTACTCCCAATATGAGCTATTGCTGGGCCAATGCAGGATTTTCACCCTGAAACATGCTTGATTTATCTGTAAATAGAATTCTCTATTACTGTTCTGCGTGGCTGCTGTACTGAGCACCCTTAAAGGTAGATGTTTCTTGGTTTGGGCAAATTGTATGCCAGGTAACATGCTGCTGCCTTTTATAGTAGAATAATAGGAAAATTATTTGCCTTTTTATTCCAGTTTCCCTATGTAACTCCAGCTCCACATGAGCCAGTGAAGACACTCAGAAGTTTGGTGAACATCCGCAAAGACTCACTCCGACTTGTGAGGTACTGTTATTGCCTGAATCTTTCATTTTATTCAACCCAGCTATCTGTCATCCAGAGACAAACTGTATTTGATTAGGTTTTGGAGAAATAGCTGAATTCCAGATCCTTGTTGCTAGATAAGTCCAGAGGTCTGTGTGTTCCCTTATGATCAGAGCTTTCAGGTGGTTTATATGCTCTTTATCCCTACACTTGAGCAATCTGTGTTTCCAAACAGGACCGGCAAGGTATCTGTCTCTACAGGACAGACTAGAGCGGTAAACAAAACCATGAAATCATTAGCATGAATGGAAGATATTAGTCAGGTCAGTAAACCCTACAGACAGATTCCTTTCTGCATTCTTGTGCAAGGAGAAGCCAGAAAGTAGCTGATTCTGGTGCAAGTCACAGGCCAGGAAGACTGATTGGTCTTGAGTGTAACTTCCTCAGGTTTCTCCTGCTGCCAAGATAAAGTTTGGTCCGAGTGTTATGCATTCATTTAGATGGCTTATGTCCCATGCACGGGGGAAGGAGGTCTGGATAATCACGGAGATCTGTAGCCTTTCACTGCTCTACACTGAGATCTAAAGCAGCACTAGCTGGATTCAACGCAATAGCTAACACTTCGACCTGCGGCTGCCCTCTTTCAAACAGATGGCTGAAGTACAGGGGCTCAGCGTACAGTGCTTTGTTTTGGTCTGAGCGACTGGGCAGATGTCCAGGCAGAGTGTTTCTCAAAGATCCTTGAGTCGCTCTGAATTCTGCGTTTCAGGCACAGGGCTGGAGTACTGGCAAGGGCCCAGCTCAACTCTCAGCCAAGGTGATTCTGAGAGCATGGCGTAATGTGAGTAATTTGAGTCATAACCGCACAAAACCCTCAGTTTGTTTTTATGTGAAAACTGAAGGTTGTTTTTTTTTGTTTTGTTTTGTTTTTTAAATGAGCAATACCTGTGGTTTCAAAACTGATTGAACAGGAAAAGAGGGAAGCACTTCTGTAAAAAGTAACCATTGCTAAGCTGCTCTGAATGCCGTCTGGCTTTTTCAGCTAAAGAGTGAAGTACTTTTCTAGGAAAAAGCCTTGCTTTGCTCCCACGCTTGCTGTGGAAAGGGTATTTTGTTCTTGCAGGCAACCACCTAAACAGTGTAACATCTCACGGAAGCCAAATGGGAAGTGGCTTTTTTGCTGGCAGAGGGCTTGCTGTCAATGGGGGAGTCGGTGGGGTTTAGTACGTGCAGTTCTGTCATTCTGCTTTCTGTGGTTGCACATCTGTGCCCCCAAGCAGAGTTGCAGCTCTGCACTATTTGAAGTGTAGTGTCCATGCACCTTGACAGTGCCTAGGTTTGCATCTGTCTAATTCCTGGTACTATTGGTTCTTTCTCTGCCTCATGAGCTCTCTCACAGCCTCTTGTGCTGCTGTGTTAGTGCTGATGACAACACTGCCACCGTTACTGTATTTAATTTTGAACTGATGTAAACCCAAAATGAGATTTTAATTGCCAGTCCCCAAGGGCATATTCTGTCTTGTGCTTTTCTTCTGTTCTGGACTAGAAGCTTTTCCTTTCTCCCTCTGTGCACGTAAAGACGCTTTGTGCCCTCTCCAGCTTGACTTATTCACAACCAGTGGTTGAGGCTTGCACATTCTTTCCAGAACTACTTAAGTTTAATTTACCACCTCCTCCATCAAAAAAAAATGATGCTGAGCCGAGTGTAAAGTAGGTTCTGATGGTAAAGTCCTCACAAGCCTTTTCATTTTCCTTGTCTTTAATTGAAAATTCATTGTTCACCTGTGAAAGAGGGTGTTGATCCATAATTTGGAGTGTAGGGCTTTATGGAAGAGTATGAGGAATTGTCCGCTCTGGGCTTCCTGCCTGGCTCTGACCAGACAAAATTCTGAGCTTTGCCAAATCCTGAATATTTACAGCAGCTTTGGAGAAAAGCAATAAACCTGTGTATATTGGTGTTGAAGTTCTGACTCTTTGACACCTTGTGTGAGTGCTTGATTTCTAGCAGGATGAGACTCTGAATCTCAGAGGAGGGTAGCATGAGCTTTGTTGTTAACCACTAACAGAAAAAGACTGCCTCGTGTCTGTCCTGTGTCCCTCTTCTGGCCCTGGATTAGAAGCTATATTTCAGAGCTGAAGTACCTGATAGGCTGGTACTGGCTGTTTACTCTCATCTTGAAAGCACTCCCAGTTGCAGGAGGAAGATCAACTCATGAGGCAGTGTGTTTCACGGAAGAGTTGCATCCTGGGACAGTTTCTCTGCTTCAGCGTGGGCATTGGGCTTTGGGTAGCATCATGGAACAAAAGTGCTGAAGGAATCGGCAACTGTAGTGGTTTGGGAAAGTGTCGGAAGCAGCAGCAATATCATGGAGAGTAGTGAGACTGACAAGTATTTTGGATAAGGGCCTGAGAGGGAGGCCTTTGTCCAAATAAGGATAAGGATGGGGACCAAATAAGGAGAGGAGAGTGACCGAGGGGAGACAGCACTATGGGGTTGACCTTGATCCTTGGAGCGGTTGGTCCCATGGTGGAGGTGGTGATGGTGAGCGTGCTGGGACTGCCTGCTCTGCAGCCCTGGATAGTGCAGAACCCCCAAACAGAAAAGCCTCTGTTTGATGACGATCTCCCCCCATTAAAGTCAATGCTGACAGAGATGTCAGCTGGTTCTTAACTTTGTTTAGTGCCTGCTCTAACACTGTTGCAATGCATATCTCACAATACTAAGTCAAGCAATACTTAACGTTTATCCTGCATGTCTACTAAGTTGTTGGTCAAAGTTTTTAATCTCCTCAAGGGATGGAATCGGGTTCAACTCGACCTATTTCTATAAAATTGTCGTGGCTGCTGTTAATTATATTTTTATCTTTTAATTCTTTGACAGACAAACAAAAAGTTCCAGCATTTTCCATTGTTTTATCCAGAAGTGATGTCAGACCAAGTGGCCTCTGCTCTCTTGGTCATCCTGCTTTGCCTTTTTCATCATAACATTGGATCAGCTATTTGTTCTCAAAGGTGGTCAGTGTCTTCTGCTCTGTGCACGTGATTGTGAAGACTATGTGATTAACTTGTGTGCATGACTGAAAGGCACACTCAGCAAAGTCACTGCTTTCTAAATTTGTGCATGTATCTGTGGCCACTTCACATCAACATTGTCTGTAGGACTTGACTAAAACTTCACTGTACATTGTAACACTGTAAACTTCAAGTGCAGGTGGAGAGAGAAGAGCTCTTGAACTACCCGAACCACCTCCTTGTCTGCCATGTCCCTTACAGAGAAAGGAGGAATGCAACATGTGTGACTTTGTCCTGTTACTCACTTGAAGTTACATCCCACCGTTCGTGCACCTTAAGGTGGAACACGAGATGTCTCTGCCTCTCAAAGTATGCACCAAAGCAGTCCTTGCTTGTTCCTTGGTCCAGCTACCATCTGGCATAGTTGCTTACGCAGTCCTTCCTCACCTGAACTTACTATGTGGCAGATGATCTTCTTAATCTCCAGCACCAGGCATGTTGCAACAGGAAGATGTGTACACAGCCTTGCTGTGACTGTCACCATTTAGGCACGTGTACCTTGCCCCTTGCTCGAGTCATGCTGTTCCAGGCAGACAGGACTCTGGCTGTGCTTCTTCCCAGCAGATGCATCCTCCCGAAACCTTCTCTTAGGCACTGTAGTTGGTAATGGCCCCTCAGCGGTTTCCTAGGGCAACAGATCTATTCTAGTCTAGGTTTAACCCCTTTTCTCCTTGAAAGGATGGAAGCACATTCTGAGTGCTGGCAGGGAGGTGCAAGAGGGTGACCTGCGAACCCGTATGCTTTGTGTGACTTCACTGAGAAGACAAAACAGCCAGTGGTTTTACTGAGGACATGTTGCTTTTGTGTGATCCGCCCTCCCCCAGCTCTTCCACCTTGTTACTTGGGGCTGTTACAGGTATCTAGATCTGTAGCTCATGTGTGTGCTGGGCATCTCTGTTTTAATACCTGCCTTTATATGTAGCGAGTATAAGTCTATAAAGTAGCCTTCATCGGTGCCTGACTGGAAGGGGTGCTGGTTCTCCCCTGCTTCTTCTGGAGGAAGTGGCAAGTGTATCATAGCCTGGATCCTTCCCTGCCGACCTCAGATCAACGGAGGGCAGCACAGCAAGAGATAATTTGCAGAAGCTTGTGCTGCTGTTTTCTTGGACACGCACAACACTTGTGGGTGGATTGTTGCAATCTGTGTTCTTGGGTCAGTCCAGCACAAAATGTTGATGCTACCCTCATGTTTTCTAGGCAAACCTGCCCTGCTGGCTAGAGTGTTTCTAGTTTGCAGCATTCAAGTGCCATGATTTTATTCTTTGAATGCAGCTAGCTTGTGTGAAAATACCATCTGGCTCTATACTGTATATTGTATCCAGGCTGCTGAAGTTGTTCAGACTCTCAGTTCTTGGGATTTGTCTTTTTTATATTAGCATGTTAGGTGTATTGTAGCTTGATTTGCTGTTCTGACCTAGGTGAACCTCTGGCAAAAGTCTTGTTTGGAGCTCTCCTTCAGACAGGAATGCAAGTGTATGCTATAGTGACTCACCAGGGTTACATTAGTACAAGTACGTGTGTCAGGTATTTGATTATACTGCTCTTAAATCTTATTTTGTACCTTCTATATTAAATTACTGAAGTTGAACACTTCATTCTTGTTCAGTGTGATGTTAAGTAAAATTTATGCCGGAGCCCTCTTAATTAGGCAGCAGTGAATTTGGTAAATAAGGATTCCCTTGACATTTTTTAGATTGAGTTATGGAGGTAATGCCTAGCCCATTTCTGAGTATTTTCAACAGTGCAGCATGTTCATCAAGGCTGTTTAATGAAGGGAGAGGCCGGCTGATACTGTGAAGTCAGGGATGGTGCCAAGCTTTTCCTGAATAGCTTAGCTGCTTGGCTTTGACCGTGGCAATTAAGGTAATACTGATAGACAAGTGAGGCTGGAACTGGGCAGCAAATCGAGTAGTGTTGTACACCTCTGAAAGGCAGCCTGCTGCATTCACCATTCCTACACAGTGCGTGAAGTAATGGCGGTACCTACGCTTGTAGGATTACTGTGGGATTTGAATTTACGTATGAGAATCTGCTTCTGCCCTGCCAGAGAATCACATCCGTTCCGTCTGTCGCTTTGCACTTCAAGGCAGGGGAGGTCTTCTCATGGTCTGTTGTGTTGGCTGCTTGTTCCAGGCTTTGCTGGTCTCCCTGGCCACCCCTGGCACGCTATAACTCACTGCTCCTCCACGGCCATAGCTTGCTGCCGTGGAGCTTGCTTCATACCACCTTCTTCACTGGATTTGTTACCTGCCTTTTCCAGCAGCAGGGAGAAGGAGTAATACTGGGCAGTGGCCATCATCCAGTGGGATCCAGCTATACAGTAGCCCATAGCCAAGTTATGACTCATCTTTATCTTAATTGAAATGACTTCTAAACTCTTTCTTATATTGGTTATCATGCATCTGTTACGCAGTTGAGTATGTTAATTTTTGTTCATACAATAAATGTGTGCAAGCTTCAGTCATTAGCAGTATCAAAGGTTTAGTTGATTTGTACATTTAAAGGTATCCGAAGTTCCTATATTTGGATGCTTTCTGATCTGAATATCATCTTCTGTGTCATACTGGAGGTACCTTTTGTTGAGCCTCAGGAGTTTTTTGCTACAGAAACCTTTTTTTTTTTTGCCTGTTGTGCACCATTTTATTTGTAGAGTTAAAAGAATTAAGCTTTAGACTTCTCAGGCCCATGTAAGATTTTAGCCCAAATACTGAGCTTAATGTGAAGATTTAAAAGGAAGGAGAATGGTTCTTCTCCTAAGGGTCAGACACTCAAGAGTTTACTTTCTTGTCTCAGTCTCTGTCCTGGCACTGTAAGGCTGGGTGAGATCCCTCAACGCCATTGTTAACATAATTCATTTCAATAACTTTAGTCAAATCTTGGAAGAACTTTCCTCAAAAGAAAGAATGGAAATCTCCTGGGAAGCCCCAGGTAGAAGGCCACGGTGCCTTGACTGCCCAGGACACCTAGATTGGAGTACTCTTGTCCTGATTTCCAGAGTGATCTCAATGATATCTCATAAATACATGTTCTAATCTTCCGGCATTGTCTTTCAGGTATAAAGATGATGTTGACAGTCCTACTGAGGAGAATGGGAAGCAGAAAGTCCTGTACAGCCTGGAGTTCACATTTGATGCGGATGCCCGTGTTGCCATCACAATCTACTGCCAGGCTACGGAGGAGTTTGTTGGTGGCATGGCAGTGTAAGTCCTGGGCTTGTGGGCGTGTGGAGGGGCACAGGAGCTCTTGGGTGATGAGCCTGGCAAACGTCTCTCGTTAATCACCCTCAAGGGCAGTGCTGCCACAGATGGTGGAGAAGGAAATCTCTTCTTTCTGTTTTGTTTTATATATTCTGATAGCTTTGAATATTACTTTCACTTCCTTCCCCCACATAGCCAATATCCTCTCTTGTTCCCTTTTTGGTTTGTTTTTTGGGTGTGGGGAAACCATTCTTTGTGCAACAAAGGCGAGGAACTCACAGCTGTATGCTTTGTCGGCAAGATGTTATATGAAATAAAAAAAACCAGCCACCCTTGCCTTCAAATACTACCTGTTTGTTTCCAGATCGCCTAACTCACTGGATTTCTGTGTTCCCTATCACGGGAGCATCTGGGCCACCAAAGCAAAGTTCAGTCTGACATTTACACAGCAAGTCTGTAAAACTGAGGCCCATCCAAAGCCTCTTTTGGGATAAATGACCACCTTAACACAGGCTGTTGTGAGATGGCTATCAGGAGGTTTTACTGCCTGAAACCCTGTCTGTGTGTTTCCTGCCAGGTACACATATTAGCCTTTGGCTAGCTGTAGAAAGAATTGTCAAAACGTCATCTGTGGTGTCTTTCTCATATCCTGGTAGTGCATCCCTACAGATTTCAAAACCTTTTTATCTAAATCAATGTTTAAACCATTCAAACCAACACTGCATCCCGGAAGACTACAGAAAAATTCCTCTCTATGTTAAGAGCGAGGGTGGCTGAAACGTGCTCTCCCTGGTGTGAACTGGGTACATGTGAGCTGCTGGCACGTTATGGCAGGCTTCCGATGGCCGTGGGACAAAGAATTCTTTTTGTTCTATGAGTAAAGGAAGATTCAGGCTGCAGAAGCTCTTGGCTTCCTCTCGTAGAGGCTTTTGGCTGATCAGCGGCTCTGTGCACGTGGTGCTGACGGCTTCTGCAGTGGTGCTCTGGATTTGGGGGTAAACTTACGTTGTATTGAAGGGATCTGCAGAGGTTTCAGCAGGGAGAAATGTGTACGACAAACCATAAAACGGCTTATGTGTTTTATGCAAAGTATAAACATCCCACTGTTGATCAATCAATAGTGTATTTTTAGAAATGAGACAAACTCAGTGCTCCCATCCAGATGTGCCTTGCTCCAAACTGGAGGATATCCCAATCCAGAATTTTTGTTTAGGCCCTTTCTCTTCTTCTGTTGAAGCCTATGGCTGCCTTTATTTTGGGAAGGTAATAAATTGACTCCTTTTAAGTGCTTGAAAAGTATCTTTTGACAAACCCTGAAAATGCTTTCTATTTAGATCCAGTTTTTCCTGAGCAGAGCTGAATGCAGCAGGATGCCTTAGAAATCCTGATAAAGTTTCCGTGTTCTGTCTCTTAGGTCCTTAGGTTTCCTGTGAATTTAGTGCTAGTGAAGGTGTTGGAATGGCAGCCTTGGAGATTGAAGTCCTCTTTTCCTAATACAGGTACAACGTGGAGAGGTGGCCAGTGTCCCTTGTGCTGCCCCGCAGTGTTCCTTGTTTTTTGACCTAAGAAGGAAACCGCCTATGGGCTAATGGGGAGAACCGAGGGTCTCTATGGCCAGGGTGGATGTATTTGCATTGCCAGACTTCAGCCATGGCTTAAATCAGCAAGTCTTGATTTTAATCTTGTTTTGCATATTCATTTGTTGGTTTACCTTGAAGGAGAACTTGTTTGTCACTGGTCAGTAACAATGAAACATCTGCATCTACAGCTCAGTGTAAGCTTTGTATCAAACTTTGTGCTACAGTTTACAAAGAGCTTAAGTTTGTAAAGAATATACATATGGTTTAAAATCTATTTTTCAGACTCCCAGTTTTTCATTTTGTTATGTCAAAATGGCAAAAAAAAAGTTATTCTAAAAAATGTTGCTTTTTTGGTTTTTTAACTTGTGTCTGGAACCAAGCTGCATTGGGGTAGAAGTGCAACTGGAGCACCGAGACCAGTGATGTAGCGTTCTTGTTGATTAAACTGCTCTATGTTGGACTCTTAAGAGACTGTCTTGTCAAGTTGTGCCTTGAATAATAATTGCTTAATGGTAGTATTATAGTTACCGAATATAACTAACTGTTTCTGGACAGAGTGTGTTTTCAGTCTTCTGTAACTATTAGCTCTCCTCTCAGAACTCTGTTGGTTGATTGGAGGAGGAAAACACAGTTTCTGGTTCGCTTAAAAACACGTTTCACTGAAATTTAGTGCTATGCACTAAGCCAGTGACTGTCACCAGTGCCGTTTTCTGTTTTTAAAGCTTATGCAGCAAACACAAACTACCTAATTCCTTTTTAAATTTAATTCGAACAATTTCTAGGTAGAGTTTCTGAAAGTTAACATAACTGTCAACTTCAAACAATTTTTTTAAAATAAATTTTTTAATCCACCCTGTCCATGGTTCACTGAGAGACGGATCTCTGTTCAGATGGTGGAGGAGCTTTTGTTCATGAACCCTGCCTGCCTCTGCACAAAACCAGGATCAGTAGTCAGCAGTCATTGCCTCGCTAACGAAACGTAGCTAGGGTGGCAGCAGCCCCCAGTGCACTAAACCATTACGTCAAAAGTCAAAGCACTCAGAAGCTCTTGCTTCCACTGCTGGCCTTTTATGTAGTAAGTGATAATTTAATTTCCCCCTAGTATAGGAGTGTCCATCTCTGCTCTGGAGTTTTTGGACAATGAATGTTATAAGCGTGAGGGGCTGCACCAGAAGTCAGGGACCCTTTTGGAAGGCGTGATCCTGATTTCATGCAGATGTGTAGGTTATAAGGGCCTGGGGAAGTGAAATACAAATATAGACTTTATAAGCTGCTTTAATTCAACCCAGGCTATTTTTCCATGTGGAAGTGGCTCATGAAGCACGTCTTGGGGCTAGTGCAGCTGCCCGAAGTAGGCATCTCTGCTTCTCTGGATTTGCTGGCTGCTAGTAAAAACCTTTTGAAGCTCTGATTTCAGCTTTGCAAAGCAATTCTGAAAGGGCAGTGCTATAATTACTTTGATTTATTCTTTTCAAATTCTAGTGGAAAAAAAAAAAAATCTGGGCTGCATTCTTCGAGCTCTAAGTGGAGCGAGTGCATTTTTAGCGAGCTAATAGGAATGCAGCTTCCCCCTGCCTGGGCTGGTAGTTTTTCCTTTTTCTCAGTTTCTTTTGGTGCTAACAGCTACATTCAAGGAATACGTGCATACAAAAGCTGCACTGTGTATAAATTCAAAAATCTTTCTTATTGCTGTGTCCGGCACTTGATTGGGAAGATGTTCTTTAAAACAAACCACTTTTTTTTTTTTTCCACTTTCCTAAATTGATGCTAAATCCTAAAATGGGAGAAACTTTCTGGCCCCTTGTCAAAAGCAGAAATTTTCTCCTATTGCCCAGCCTGCAGCATGGCTCCTCAGAAGCGCTAAACAAGTTATTCTTGCTTCTCTGCTGAAACAACCACTGATCCTGATAGTATCAGTGCTCCTGCTCATGTGAAACTCCTGCTAGGAACGTTGTTATGTTCGTACAATTTGGGGTGAGAGGAGGGAGGGAAGGTGGCTCCCCCTGAGCACAGGCGTTGCTTATTGTAGAGCCTCTGCTCATCTGAGAGCCACAACGCTCTGCGTGCTGTGGCCCTGCCTTCAGGATTACCTGGTCTCTGTAACCAAAGGGAAGCCTGTCTCCCTGCAAGCTAGGAAGCTTCCTCCTGGAGTTGTTCGAGCTCTGTTTAAAAGCTGGTGGCTTTATCAGTATGTGCTGCCTGTCCTAACCTGTCTCAAAGGAGCGTTCAGCAGACTTTCCCAGGTAATCGTGCTGGGAGATATGCTCAGCTATACGGTTTCCCAGCCAAGATCTTGGGAACGTGTAGCTCCCAACTGCTGCCTGCCTCTTGTCCTGAACTGTTGAACTCTTTGAGTTTCACGGGGAGCTGTATCGTCACCGCTGTGGGACCGCAGTTGACCAGTAAAGTCTGGGGAAGGCGAACGTGTGGTGGCTGGTGATTGTAGAGGTGTCTTCACCTCTGCAGCCCCATCCCCAGGGGAAGGTACCCTGCACTTTCTGGTGCTAGTGCAGATATCTGTAGAAGCCTCTTGGATGAAATTGGGATTAGTTTAAATCTAGAAGGGGCTGCTGCTCTCACCTTTTGATTATCTTTTGCTCAGTTGCTTTGTGGTGACTCTAAAGACTCTTTAGAGCATGTCAGTTCTCAGAGGACCAGCTGGTGCATTACCCCAAAGGTAACAGACACCTATGTCCAGAGTCTCTTTAATGGCATGGAATTAGCAGCAACCTACGTCTGAACAGCTCAAGACCCCCAGTGTCCTCGGTTTTGTTTATTGTTCTGGTTGTGTCCATTTTCTTTGGTTTTGGAAATCGGCAAACTGTTCTGCTGTGCTTCTGTTTCCTGTGGCAGCCCCCGCAGTGAGCTTTAGCACAGCATCTTCCCCGAGGATCCCCTCTCATCTTTGGTTAGCGGTGAGTGTGCTCTTGGGGAGTTGGTTTGTGATCTAGCTGGCTTGGAGAAAGTGATATTTCTCAGTTTGTCCTTTCCTTTGGCTTCAGTTTCCCAGCAGCTGGGTAGAAAGCAGGGAAGACCCGGCCTGGGGAAACCATCGTAACAGCTTGACTGCTCACCTGTGAGGACAAGCCTCATATTGCTCAGTGTCACTGAGGCACAACAGTACCTGTCAGCTTCAAAAATGTCCTACAACTAGAAATTTGCTGTCAGAATCTGTGTTGCTAACTGGATTTTAAGACTAGCCAGCCAGAGAGGCAGCTCCATGCTCCGGTAGAGGTGATCAGCACGTGCAGCAAGGAAGGATTCAGCCATCTTGCCTAAAAGGCGAAGGGTGACCAGGATGGGCCCTGTGTACATGGCACGAGAATCTCTGCCTTAGCATGTAGGAGGCACAAGCATGCAGGTGTGCGAGCTGTATGTCACCTACTCGCTAGTGATTGCCCATAAGCATGTGATTCACTTCAA